TTTGGTGAAAATCGGTTCAGATTTAGATATAGCTCCCATATATAGTTCCGTCCGATTTTAGGTAAATGGTGCACCAAAGTCCCTATATATCTTTCGATTTGCACGAAATTTGGCACAGCGTAATGAATGAAGTGTAGAATGATGTGTGTTAAGTTTCCTGAAAATCGGTTCAGATTTAGATATAGCTCCCATATATATTTTTCTCCGATTTATGTAAAGTCCCTATATATCTTTCGATTTGCACGAAATTTGGCACAGCGTAATGAACTAGGTCTTGAATGATGTGTGTTAAATTTCCTGAAATCGTTGAAATCGGTTCTGATTTAGATATAGCTTCTTTATCTGACCAAATGAAAGAAATTAGTAAAGGTTACAGAATGGCATGTTTATGGATCCAATTTCATTTTGCTGGTTCTTTAAAAATGCGACGTCTGTTAGGATTCTTCTGTTGAATATACCCAAAGTGGTGAATGGAAAGTATGAACAAACCCTTTTAAAAATTGGGAATAAAAACAGCAAAAAAATCTAAGTCTAAAGGACCCCATAAATGAACAGAATAAGATTCACTAAAAATCACTTTCTGAGTCGAACTATGCATGTCCGTCCGTCTGTCCATGTTAAATTGTAAACAAAGTGCAGGTCGCATTTATTATCCGAAGAAATAAAATTCGGCGAATCCTATTGAAATTGGTGAAAATAGGTTCAGATTTAGTTATAGCTTTTTATACCCTACACAACTATGTTGTCAGGGCAGCCCCAAAAGTTTGTAATGCCGCGAAATATTGGTCCTAGACCCACCTTTAAGTATACCGATCGTCATATCTCGACTAGCTGAGTCGATCTAGACATGTGTGTCCGTCCGTCTGTCCATTATAATTTGTAAACACGATACAGGCCACAGTTATGGACCAATCTTCACGAAATTTTGCATGTAGGATGGGTTCTGGCCAATGAAGACCCCTATTGTTTTTGGGAAAGATCGGTTAATATTTAGGGGATGAAATGGACCAAATATAAAATTTTTGTCGGTTTTTCTGGTCGCTCCAGAGGCCGCAACACTGGCCCGAACATCGTGAAATTTTGCATGGAGAAGCTGATCGGCCCAAAGAATAAGCCCGCCGGTTTGGATAAAGATCGATCAATATTTAGCGGGTCAAATGGACCCTGACTTTTGTGTGAAAAATGACAAAAATTGTATTCTATGGCGTATATATTTGCCCCTGAAGGACATATGCCCGAAGGACATATGCCCGATCCAAGAGGAGTGGTTGACCTTTAAATTAAGACCAATTATATTGTTGTATGTGCTCTGATGTGGGAGTTACACCTAAAAATTTACAGGTATCTCCGTATTTGTATGTTATTTAGTAACCCATTATCACTCTAGAGAGCCGAACATAGCGCTGATCGTTTCGAAATGTTCCATGAGGTTCCAGTTATGGTCAAGGACTACGCCTATAATTTTCGGTGATGATCACATAATAATTTTGGAATGAAGTGGACCGAAAACCTAATTATTTGTGTTATTTTCGAGTCGATCTATAGACCACAAATGAAAGCCGAACATCACAACACAACCCACGGTGAAGGGAATCTGGACAATAGCTGTACTGAATACTCGTAATATTCGGAAAATATGTCAGTGTGAGGAAGAGGTGTTTACCTCTAATCGGGAAGAGAGTGCAAATATCACGAAATATTGCCCAGTCTCGGAATAAACATCCGCAGAAAATTTGAGTTCCGTGGTAGTTGTGTAGGGTATCGTGTGGTCGGGCCACGTCCGACTATACTGCTCCGCTGGTTTATTGGATGGTTTGTTTGGATGACTAAGTTTTATTGAAATCGGTTAAGATTTCGACATAGCTTCCATATATATTTTCATCCAATTGTTAGCAAATGCTGAAACAAAAAGCAAAAATTTAGGCCGAATCGTACGAAATTTTGCATAACGTACTAAAGTTATGATACCCTAGGTCCTATTGAAATCGGTTCAGATTTAGATATAGCTCTCATATATATTTTCGTCCGATTTATTTCGTAATTTGTACGAAATTTGGCATAGCGTACTGAATTAAGTCTGGAAATATGTGTGCTAAATTTCGTAAAAATCGAAGTGATGTGTGCTAAGTTTCGTGAAAATCGGTTCTGATTTACATATAGCCCTATATATATTTCGTCCGATTTATTGTAAATGCTAATTTTGAACAGTGCGGTATACCGAATAGCGTGTATCAAGTGTGCTATAGGTAGATTTACATAAATTTGTCCCATTGTACGCAAACGACTCTAAATCTGACCGAATGAAATGGTAGATTGCCGAAAGGCATGTGTATGGATTGATGTTAATCGGTTCACATATAGATAAAGATCACATATTCAAGTTCGTTCAATTTCATGTCAATGTTGCTTCAAAAAAGGCGACGTCTATTAGGATATAGGAGAATATAGCAGAATAGAATATACCAAAGGGGTGAAGGGTATCCTATAGTCGGCCCAGTCCGACTTTACTACTTTCCTTACTGGTTTCTTATATTTGTATACCCTTCACAACACTGTGGTACAGGGTATTATGTCTTTGTGCATAAGTTTGTAACAGGCAAAAGGAGACGATATAGACACATGGTTCCTTTTGAGAATAGGCATAGAATCTCTATATATATATATATATATATATATATATTTTCGTCCGATTTAATGTAAATGGGGCACCAAAGTCCCTATATATCCCTATAGATTTCGATATAGTTTTTATACCCTACACAACTATGTTGTCAGGGTATTATAGCTTTGTGCAGCTCCAAAAGTTTGTAACGCGGCGAAATATTGGTCCTAGACCCACCTTTAAGTATACCGATCGTTATATCTCGACTAGCTAAATCGATCTAGATATGTGTGTCCGTCCGTCTGTCCATTATAATTTGTAAACACGCTACAGGCTACAGTTATGGACCAATCTTCACGAAATTTTGCATGTAGGATGGATTCTGGCCAATGAAGACCCCTATTGTTTTTGGAAAAGATCGGTTAATATTTAGGGGATGAAATGGACCAAAAACTTTATTTTTGTCGGTTTTTCTGGTCGCTCCAGAGGCCGCCATTATGGCCCAACCACCTCGAATTTTTGCATGGAGAAGGGGATTGGGCCAAAGAATAAAAAAAATAATAAAGAGTAAGCATGCCTGTTTTGATAAGGATCGGTCAATATTTAGCGGGTCAAATGGACCCTGACTTTTGTGTGAAAAGTGACAAAATTTGTATTCTATAGCATATATATTTACTCCTGAATGACATAGGCGCGAGGAGTTGATAGTATATCCAAGAGGAGTGGTTGGCCTTTAAATTGATAGCAATTATATTGCCGTATGTACTAAGATGTGGGAGTTACACGTAAATATTTACAGGTGCTTACTTATTCAGATATTATTTAGTAACCTATTACCAGTTAGGTTGACCTTGACCAGTTGTCAAGGTCAACGCCTATAATTTTCGGCATTGATCAGATAATAATTTTGGGATGAAGTGGACCGAAAACTTATTTTTTTGCGTGTGTTTTCCAGTCGATCAATTGCCAAAAGCCGAACATCACAACACAATCCACTGTGAAGGGGATCTGGATAAGAAATTAGAAGGGCTTTACTGAATATCGGAAATATTCGGAAAATATGTCAGTGTAAGGAAGAGATGCTGTTGACCTCTAATCGGGCAAGAGAGTGCAACTATCACGAAATATTGCCCAAGCTATGAATAAAACTCCGCAGGAAGTTGAAGTTACGTGGTAGTTGTGTAGGGTGTCGTATGGTCGGCCCCGTCCGACTATATTGCTCCGCTCACTGGTTATATATATTTTCGTCCGATTTTAAGTAAATGGTACACCAAACGCCTCATGTTTATCAGATATTTATTTAAATAATCAAAGGATGTCCGATTGATATTTGCTTCCCATTGTAAGAAGCAACTTATGTCTGACCAAATGAAAAATTTAGTATAGGTTGCAGAATGACATTTTTATGGATCCAATTTCATTTTACTGGTTCCTCAAAGATGCGACGTCTGTTAGGATTCATCTGTTGAATATACCCAAAGTGGTGAAGGGTATCATATAGTCGGCCCCGCCCGACTTTACTACTTTCCTTACTGGTTTCTTATATATTTTAACATGACACATTATTACATTAAATCATGCTAAATCAGTATATATACCTCTGTTACACTTTTAACATATTACATTGCAGATGTTACGAAAATGAAAAACAAAGTAAGAAACATTGTAATGCTAACCAGGATTCTGATTTTATGAATGAAAAACGATTGTGGTTCAAGGTTACATTATTCTGTTACGAAACTCTGGAGCATTGCTATGTTAACAACATGTTGCCAAGAATTCTCTCTCTTTCTCTTTAAAAATGTTGAACAATCATATGGTCTTCGAAATATACCTACCACCCTAACAAAACGCTCAGTAACAGTGGTGAAATTTGTTGCTAGGATAACCAACATATTTCGGAGTTCAGAGCAAAAGGATGTATGTTGCTACTGATGTCGCTGCGGCTGCTGCTGCTATCGTGTCTCATATTTGGGTGTTGATGTGTTTCCAAAATAATATTTGTTAATGTAGTTCATGGGACACATGTCAGTTCGAAACGAAGTGTGAAACAAAACACAACGATTTTAATAACAAACGAAGGACATATGTCTCTTTGAAAAATAAAGAAAATCGACTTAAAGCGAATTAATTATTTTAATACAGTTTAAAATATAGCACAAGAAAAAGGGTGAAGAGAATTTAAGTGATTAAAAAAAATAAGATAAAAAAAAATATTAAAAAAAGATCTTACGCCAACAAAATAAATATTAAGTGAGCTTGACATCATTAAATGAAAAATATAAGAAATTAAACTTAAAGAAATATATTTTAAAATAACATACACAAATAAAACATAATATATATCACATATAAGTGTTTTCACTAAAATCATTCACCACGGATTACCTAACGCTAGACAACGAATTTGCCGCCCTTGCATTGTGGCCCGATACAAATTCGTTATTGGATCTACAATTGTCGGATCCAATACTGGGCTATCAGAATGTCACTCAGCCACTGGATTGGTATGAAGAGGATAGCTCATTCAATGCAAGTGCATATGACTATTTTGTCAACAGCAATAACAACAGTACTGAGGATAACAACACAACAATCATAACACGAAATGGCACAGCTGAGTCAACAGTTTACATTGTTGCAACCAGCACTGTTGGCCCCCATCGGTCGTCGACAACCCGTTCTTCGGCATTTGAAGTACCCATTTGGTTAATATTATGCTACAGCATCATTTTACTTTTTGCCATAGTTGGTAACCTGTTGGTCATTGTGATATTGGCACAGAATCGTCGTATGCGTACCATTACCAATGTGTTTTTGCTGAATTTAGCCATATCGGATATTCTGTTGGGTGTCCTCTGTATGCCGGTAACATTGGTCGGTACTCTACTGCGACACTTTATATTTGGTGAATTCTTTTGTAAGCTGATACAATTTTCACAAGGTAGGTAAAACAATGGTGAATGTTTTTGTTATTGTTTGGAAATTAAAAACACTGCAATAATACATGGAAATATTGTTGTCACACTTATACATTCAGCTACTCATCTGCCATAGCATCATCTAATATTATAAAGTCAAGGACTTATGCATGACCTTGACCATTTTATGGAGTTGGGGGACGGTAAAGAGTGTATAGAATTCACCAGTATATTTGCAAATAAATGTGAATATTTGTCGGAATTTATGGGGATAAATTAACAGAATACAATTCTATATCCATTTAGCCATTTTAACACGTTACCCTTTTAGGTACTGCAAATGGAATATATCGGTCCATAGCCTTCGTGTGAATATAGCGGTCCATGTTTTGACATTTTTAGGTCAATGTACCCATATGAAGGTCTAGCCATATTTTCAGCATTTGAATGGTTTGAGCTGTAAATTGTCAGTAATTTGGCCCTACTAATTCTTGGAGAACGAAAAACATCTTTGCAGAAAATAATCTATGTTATTATACAGATCCTCATTTCTGTGCCCTCCATCGCAATGTGAAATGTTTATTAAATTTGTCATTTCGTGTGTAACACCTCGAAATATTCTCCATACAAATAATACATTCTTCTTAGCCATCTCCGTCTGCTGAAATCGCGATAGATCTCGCATAATTTAAGACCGAGCCGAAATTTAACACATACATTGCTATTACACTTAGGATGATTTGTATTGCAAATGGGATATATCAGTCCATTTTTTAGGGTAACCACCATATAACGTCCCCATATTCGATATTTCGCGTTTACAGCTGAAATGGTTCAAATGTATTATTAGCAAATCTCTCTAGCAAAATATATCAGTATTGGCCCAAATTTCGAAGAAGCCACCTTAAAAATAAGGAATATATTCATCGATTGGATTTATCCTAGTTCATACGACTGTAACACACACACACATACAGGGGGAACGTGTCAAAGTCTGGAACCGATCGGATTATTAGATTTTGAGTTATCGTGATCGACATTCGTAAAAACACTGTTTCGAGAATCTGAAATAATAAATCGGCTATATCTTCAAAAGTTCTTCAGAGTTTCATTTGAAATTTCATAGGGACATTTTTGAATTAGTGTAGGCTCGAATTAAATAAAAACCAGTAAGGAAAGCAGTAAAGTCGGACTAGGCCGACTATATGATACCCTTCACCACTTTGGGTATATTGTACATATGTATCCTCTCCAAGGAACATACGCAAGTCTTTCTGCAACCTATGATAAATTTAATTTTATTCGGGCAGATTTAAAGTCGACTTCGTACCATGGAACAAATTTATGAAAACGACTTATAGCAAAATTAATACACGCTATTCGGTCGCCGCACTGTTAAAATTTTAATTTCATTCAGACATCCATTCGAAATACATATGGAAGCTATGACAGCATCTACATCAATTTCAACAAAACGCAATAACGTTATTCAAGTCTCAACTTAATACGTTGTCCAAAAAATCGTGTTAATCGGACAAACATTAGAAGGTGTGTGCACCATTTATGTAAAATCGGACGAATATATATGTATATGTGGGAGCTATATCGAAACCAGAACCGATTTTCTCGAAACTTGGCACACATCATTCTGGACCTAATTCAGTACTCTATGCCAAATTACATGCAAATCGAATGATATATAGGGACTTTGGTGCACCATTTACCTTAAATCGGACGAAACTATATATGGGAGCTATATCTAAATCTGAACCGATTTTCTCGAAAATAGGCACACATCATTCTGGACCTAATTTATTGCTCTGTGCCAAATTTCGCGCAAATCGGAAGATATAGAGGGGCTTTGGTGCACCATTTATTTTAAATCGGACGAAGCTATATATGGGAGATATATCTAAATCTCAACCGATTTTCTCGAAACTTGACACATCATTCTGGACCTAATTTATTGCTCTGTGCCAAATTTCGTGCAAATCGAAAGATATAGAGGGGCTTTGGTGCACCATTTACCTTAAATCGGACGAAGCTATATATGGGAGCTATATCTAAATCTCAACCGATTTTCTCGAAACTTGGCACTCATCATTCTGGACGTAATTTAGTGCTCTGTGCCACATTTCGTGCAAATCGAAAAATATAGAGGGGATTTGATGCCACATTTACCTTAAATGGGAGCTATATCTAAATCTGAAAATATATATGGGAGCTATATCTAAATCTGAACCGATTTTTCCCAATTTCAATAGGGTTCGTCCTTGGACCAAACAAATGAGCTGTGCCAAATTTCATCCAAATCGGATCAAATTTGGCACTTTGTTTACAATTTAACATCTACAGACGGACAGATGGACGGACGGACATGCATAATTCGACTCAGAAAGTGATTCTATGCTTATTCTCAAAAGGAACCATGTGTCTATCCCGTTTCCTTTTGCCTGTTACAAACATATGCACACTGTGGTACAGGGTATTATGTACCACAGTGTGGTGAAGGGTATAAAAAAAACAATATTTAATGAGAATGGGGTGGGGTCAGCAAAATATAAAAATAAATCGAAGACGGAGCTAATCATGAGTCGACTATTTACCCTACACAACTATGTTGTCAGGGTTGTTATATCTTTGTGCAAGAGTTTATAACGCCGCGAAATATTGGCATATACCACTTTTAGGTATACCGATTGCCATATCTCGACTAGCTGGGTCGAAGTAGACATGTGTGTCCGTCCGTCTGTCAAGTATAATTTGTAAACACGATACAAGCCACAGTTATGAACCAATCTTCACGAATTTTTAAATGCAGGATGAATTCTGGCCAATGAAAACCCCTTATTGTTTTGGTAAAGTTCGGTTAATATTTAGGGGATGAAATGGACCAAAAACTATATTTTTGTCTGATATCTTGGTCGTTCCAGAGACCGCAATTGTGGCCACAAACATGGCGAGAATGGGATCCAGCCAAAAAATAAACAGGTCTGGACCCTGACTTTTGTGTGAAAAATTACAAAATTTGTATTATATAGCGTATATATTTACCACTGAATGGCATAGACCCGAGAAGTTAACAGCATATCCAAGAGGAGTGGTTGGCCTTTAAATTGATACCAATTTTATTGTCGTATGTACTCGGATGTGTGAGTTACACTTAAATATTTTTAGTAACCCATTACCACACTAGAGTGCGGAATTATAGCGCTGTTCGCTTTAAATTTTTCCATTAGGTTCCAGGTATGGTCAAGGACAAACCCTATCAGATGATCACATAATAATATTCTTATGAAGTGGACCGAAAATATAATTTGTTGAGTTTTTCGAGTCGACCTATAGCCCACAATTGAAAGCCGATCATCACAACACAACCCACCGTGAAGGGTATCTGGACAAGTAATTAGAAAAGCTGTACTGAATATTAGTAATATTTGTTGACCTCTAGTCGGTCAAGAGGGTGCAAATATCGCGAAATATTTCCCAAGCTTCGAATATAGGACCACAGAAAGTTAGATTTTCGTGGAAGTTGTGTAGGGTTTCATATGGTCGGCCCCGTCCGACTATATTGCTCTGTTCACTGGTTTTATATTGACATATGTAAAGGTTTCAGTTTGATTTGTTTCAAAAATATTTTTATGAGGTATTAATTTTGTTTATGTTTTTTGCCCTTAAACATGTTACAATATATTTCGTAATATGTTTTGTAAACTTTTCTAGAAAACCAAGATTTGAAACGGAACCTAAAATGGATTTAAAGCACTTTAAATATAAACCATTCTCGTGATATGAAGGCAATTGCTTTGAAGGAAGGTGATTACATTGAAATCTTCTGATAAGTTCTTCGAGAAGTTTTTCAACCAGACATTATCTGCCAAGTACACAACAAAAAACAAAATAGTTTCATTATTTTGGAAATAACGTTCTGACAATAATAGTTCCCCAATCAGTCACCGAAAATTGTTGGCCAAAAAAAAAAATCAGACGAACTAGCTAATGCTGGATTCCATTCTAATGAACTAAAAGAAGGTCGCAGTTGCATCGGATTTGTGCGTCATTATAAGGGAAATTTTAAGCATCATGTATCTAAAAGTTATAAAAAACTTTATGATAGACAAAATGACGATAAGCAAAAGTATTCTAAAAACAATGTGTGTGTTCAGTATGATTAAGGAGTATGAAAGACAGATAGTACTGTAACCTTACATAACTTTTATGGTATTTACCAGAAGGTTTCCTACTAATATTTTCTGCAAGGAATCTTATGGCTATTAAATAGATATTAGCGTTTGGAACAACTTAATTATTTTTAAAATATAAAGGGTATGTGTATAAACAGTCGCAAAAAATTTTGATAATCCATGTCGCCGGTGTTCTAATGGGATTTATAGTGCATTATAGAACTAAAGGAATACAAAATACATTTTTATATTGACATGTGATCATTTATTGCTTCAATTTACCTTAGATCTCATTAGATTCTCTTTTATATAGATGAAATCTTTTGAACGTAGAATTTCTATGTCCAAAATTTATCGAAATGCACTTCTTAATATAAAGGACAGTTACATACCACTGATATAGAACCCAAAATATTACATTACAGTCAATTCTGATCACTTTACAGATTTGATCTATGGTTTATAGTATCATTTCGATGTGGTTTATAGTATCATTTCGACGATTATGGACATTTCTGTCGAGAATTGTTTTATTGTCATGTATCCTATTTATTTTCCTGTACATTGAAGCCAAAGATATTTTATTTGTTAAAAACGTCTTAAATTTGAAACCCCTTGATATATGTTGGAGCATAAAAAATATGTCTTGTGTAGTTCCCAAGGAAAATTATTTGGAGTCGATTATATTTTTTCTTCATTCTTTACTTGATAATAAATCCTTGATAGCATTAATATTTCAGTGTTTCCTTACTCACTCCACGTGTCATTGTATATGGCGTCAGTTGTGAAGTTTCCCTTCCTTAGGTTTTGTGTCCTCGCCACGCAATGAATATCCAGGA